TGATCAATGCAATACTGCAATATGGTCCAATGAATCGAACTTCGTATTGTTCCCAACCACTGGACATGTTTTACAAACATCATCCCAAGCTTACATCCAGGATTGTCTTGTGCCAGCAGTGAATGGTGGTAGCAGCACAGTCATGGTTTGGGCAGCCATATCTTGGTATTCTGCAAGCCCCATCATCACATTTTGAAAGATAGTCCCTGCCAGTGACTATGTACAAATTTTGACCGACCATGAGCACCCATGGTGTAGACATTGTTTCCCGAAGGCAGCGCCATTTACCAAGACGATCGTGCTCTGATTCACACAACTGGAGGTTTATTTACTAAAGCTGGTTCACTCAATCTTGTGCACGTCTTCAAAGAAACCAATCAGCTTCCATGTTTTATTGCTAAAACTTAATTGAACAGGCTGAGGTTAGAAGCTGATTGGCTGCGATGCACAGGTACACGGATTCTGAGTGAAGCAGCTTTAGTAAATAAACCCACAGTGTTTGCATATCATGGTTTGATGAGCATGCAGACACTCGTCCTTCTCTGGGAACTGCAGTCACCGGACCTCAATATCATAGAGCCACTATGATCGATTGTGGAGAACAAGGTTCGGGCTTGTTTTCGGCTTCTGGCATCTCTGCGAGAACTGGAATGAATTTTGCATTGGAAGTGGTATCCAATTCCAATATCCACCATCCAAGACTTATATTTGTCATTTCCAATGGGAATTCAGACCGTCTTGGATGCCAAAGGCAGTCCAACACTATATTTGGTAACTATTTGCGTTTTTACCTAGTGTTTCAGTAATTTTGTCCAACTCCATTATGTGACACATTGTATATATTATTTTGTATTCCTTTTACAAGTGCTGGGCTTATGTTTGGTGGTTTTGTCCAGTGTACATAATTTGTCACCACATACTACACATAGTTCAACGCTTGCCACCATGCACACACCTATGAATGAGCCCTCAGACATACTGGGTACGTTTCTTGCTACACAGGGCTTAAATGGATGAATCAGATGGGGCCTTTCCATTTTCAAAATGAACTTGCTCCATTGCAGTGGAGTTGCCCCTTCACTGCAAGGATTCAATGCTTATGATTTAGGGCTTTAGACAATGCAAAGCCAATTCATGCTATTGAGAAGGTTACATCTCTATAGAAATCTATAGGATAAAGTATAGGATAAATCTGAGCTGATAAGCAGTGCACACAATGAACAACCTTCTTACAACACAAACTATATACCAAGGTCACGCTTGTCTGCCTATTCAACACAAGAAACAAGGCTTGTCCTAAGCACTAAACATTATAGTGACGTAGAGGGCCGGTTCTCACCATGCCTGCATAGGGATGCACTGTGTTTCTGTGCGATTCAAATTGCATTCAAAACGGTCTACTTGCGATTTATAGCTGGTGTCAATAATAAATTAGTGGTTCTAAAGGCTGAAGGTTTTTTAACTTCATGCATTCTATGAATGAAGGCAATAAAACCTGTGTGCAGCCCCCCATACTTATCAGAACTCCCTCTTGATCCAGCAATGTCCTTGAGAGCCTCTGCTCTCTGGGAACTCCTGATTGGCTGAGGCAGCAGCGGGAGCCATTGGCTCCTGCTGCTGTCAACCACAGCCAGTGAATCAGGGAGGGGGTGGGGCTGAACCACGGCTGTGTGTGTGAATGGACACAGAGCCGCGGCTTGGGAGCGTGCCTGCTTGGGTGCCCTCAGAGCAAGCTGCTTGCTCTGGGGGCACTCTGCAGGAGGGAGGGACCAAGAAGAGGATCAGAGCTGCTCTGTGCAAAACCACTGCACAGAGCAGGGAAGTATAACAGGTTTATGTGTGTGTTTATTTTTAAATATCACTTTAACCATTAGCCTACAGGGCACGTATACCCCCTTCCTGCCCAGGCCAATTTCCAGCTTTCAGCGCTGTCGCACTTTGAATGACAATTGCGCGGTCAAACAACACTGTACCCATATGAAATTTTTATCATTTTTTTAATGACAGATAGAGCTTTCTTTTGGTGGAATTTAATCACCTTGGGGATCTTTATTTTTTCTTAAACAAACCAAAACCACTAAAAATTTTGAAAAAAAATTTTTTTCTTACTTTTTGTTATAACATTTTGTAAATAAGTGATTTTTCTCCTTCACTGATGTGCGCTAATGAGGCGGCACTGATAGGCTGCACTGATGGACACTGATAGGTGGCACTGATGGGTACTGATAAGGAGGCACTGGTAGGTGGCACTGATGGGCATTGGCAGGCATCACTGATGGGCACTGAAAGGCAGCACTGATACATGGCACTGTTAGGCGGCACTGACTGGCACTGTTAGGCGGCACTGGCTGGCACTTGTTAGGCGGCACTGACTGGCCACGCATGCGCAGTGAGAATGGGAGGACGTCATATAACTTCCTCCCAGAACGAGAGAACCACCTTGCGCCCGTCATATTACTATATGACGTGCGGTAGGTGGTTAAACACATCACAAACACAGTGCGTTGGCCCACATTGGATTGCATAGTACAAAAGTACTATGTGATCTGGTTGTGGTGCATTTCTAGTAGTGTATGCACGACTTTTTGGTGCAGTATGATTTTAGCCCATTTAGCATGAAGTGCTTTCCTGTGCAGGCATGGTGTGAGCCGACCTTAACAGATATCCGTATTTTCCAAAAATGATCCATACACATCCAGCATGAGCAGTGCACATTAGTTGCAGTCACGTACAAAGCTCTTCCCATAGTCCATAGTCTGTCTCAGCAAGAGAGGGTGATTATCTTCTACATTCAAAGGGATCATGGAGAACGAAAGTAGCCGTCCTCTAACAGGAAGTCAGATCACAGCAGCCAGAAAAGCAATTTGAAGGAGTCTGAGAGCAATTGAAGGGACTATTTAAGTTAAGAATATATACTTTTATAGAATTTTATTTTTTAAAAGCCAAAATGTGGTTATTTCTTTTATGCATGTAAAGAAAAACATAATTATACAGAGAACCATCTCATTTAAAAACAGATTTGAATGACAACATTTTGTAACTCAGCTGTCCACTTCCCCTGCTGTGTATTTCTACAGCTTCAAAACCTTCTTAGAGCAGAAATAGGTTATGTTTTAGTGCCCTACAAATAGTAGTATGCACCTTGAAGTAACAAAACGCTTCTGTACAAGGATTCTCGCATCTCGCACACATTTTTTTTTTTCTTTGTGTCTCTAACAATTTCTGTGAAAGTGAAACTAAACCCATCAGTGTAAATGTTTCCCAGTTATGCTGTGAGTGAGAACTGTCTCAGTTGCTTGTGCTGTCACCCAAACTGTCAAGGCATCTAATTGTTGGTGTCATAACTGATCGCATGTGCAGCAGCATTGCAACTTCAGATCAAACAGAGGCTAAGAAGGCAGCATGCTTGGCTGTAAAGGATAAGACGGTTTACTTCTAAACATTCTTCTCTCCAAAGGATGTGTAGGGGATATATGTGCCCAGCACAGGGTAAGGATTGCACAGGATTTAGCAGAACACTTTTCCCAGTCTCTAAGCACTTGCCTGAAACGTGACTTCTGAGGAATGGGGGAGGAGGAGGGGGGGCTGTCAGCTAAAATGTTCCAATCAAGTGCTTGCAGATGGAGAAAAGTGTTGTCTGTCAGAGTAGCCGTCTCCTTGCTAGCTGCGTTGTCATATGCGTGTGAATGTACCAGATTTCATGGCTAGGTAGTATTGTCAATTAATCCATTTTTATATTGCTTTTAAACTCTTGCATATACGCAGTGAAGTGACTGGCCTCTGATATACAGAGATGAAACAAATCATCCTGCATAAGTTGTACCTGTTTTATCTGCAGTCTTCTCTTATCTACATCCATGCAAGAGCTGATTTTATACAGCATGTAAGAGTTCAGAAAAACGGGGGGCAGAAAGCTGAAGTTTACTCTGCAGAGCTCAGTGAGGAGAGCTATGAGAACTGATTGGAGGGAAGAGACTACCCCCCCCCCCCCCCACCTTCACACAGCACAAACAGAGCTGAGGCTGACAGAAATGACACTTTGCTTTTAATTGAGACAAGTACACTCTGTAGGGAATATGCTTTGTTCATATTTCATGTCTAAGGTTTACAACCACCTTTAACAACAAAGGTATAGAGCATAGGTAGTATTGTAAGGCACAGGTTCATAACCACTGGTACGTACACCCCTGGATCTATTCCTGATGGGTTCTGGGTTGCTTTTACTTTCTAATATAAATACATTACTAGAGTTTTAACAAATACTAAATCTTATGTAAGAAAGATCTTCGCAAATCTGTTTTAGTTCAACTGAAGCTGAGACAAGGCTGCAGTTGGTAGGATAAGGATTTATACAGTCAAGGTCTGAATACTTTCTGAGAAAAGGGAGCAGGATCCCTGAAACAAGTCACCCATTACCCTGTGGGCTGCATTGTATCTCACAGTTGTAGAGTTATCATGTGGCATTAATGTCAACATCTCTATTTTACATGCTGTATTTCTTGCACGTGTGATTTTTTTTTTTATTTTTTATTTTTCTAGTTATTACCAGCCATGCACACGGTGTTTTTTGGTTGCTGTGCATCATATCGCTGCACTTTCGAGCTCCTAGGAAGAACAGATACAATGTCCAGCCCTCCTTCCTGCAAGTTTGTTAGTCTAAGAATGCCTGTGTTCCGGGGTATATCCCTGATCACATAGGGCACCAAACACAAGTAGCCCTTGGTATAATGTTCAGCTGCAGTGTATTTGTAACCTGTCAGACTTTGGCAGACAATGGGGCTGGATGCTGCACTTATACCTCCCAGGTGCATGGAAATGCTGGGATTTGATGCACAGGAACTAAACATCCAATGTTCTTGGGCCTAAATGGACTAATTAATACACAAGAAATGTGCAGTGTTTTACTGTTTTATTCATGAAAATAAGCATGGGGATATTTAGGAATATGTGATAAGCTACGAGTATGCATGAAATAAATGTTACTTTTCTCTTTTGATCAGGTCTTGTGCCGATATAGAAATATATGGAATGTAGATATTCAGCTTCGTCCTGGATTCCTTGGGGGAATAATACAAACAACAGGTATGCAAACACAGAACAGAGTAAAAAAATACAGTTAGGTCCATATATATTTGGACACAGGCACAATTTTTATACTTTTGGCTCTGTATGACACCAGAATAAATTTAAACAAAACAATCCAAATAAATTTGAAGTGCAGACTTTCAGCTTTAATTCAAGGGGTTGGACATAAATATCAAGTACACATTTTAGGAACTGCAACCATTTTAATACACAGTCCCTCCATTTTCAGTGGCTCAAATGTAATTGGACAAATTAATATAATCATAAATGTTCGTTTTTAATATTTTGTTGAGAATCCTTTACTGGGGGGCGTGGCTTGGCGCCGAGCGGAATGGCCGCTTAATCTAAGAGCTCCCGCTGGCCGGATCGGACTGCCAAACAGCGTGGTCGGGAGGGGTAAGACAGACCCCTCACATCATGGGGAAACACGACCGGACGCTCTCCGGCACCCGATCGCGGTCCCCAAGGGGCCCCAAGCCAGCAGGGAGACACATTAAGGAGCTCTTTAGCTCCCAGGCACAGAGAGCAGGGCCGCAGCCACCTCCCTCTCTCTCTCAATCCCCCTCTCCCCCCCTCCCTCTGCAGCCTCAGCCTCTGACACAGGCTGCTCTTCCTGCATGGCTATGCAGGCTGGAAGTGACACAGTGCCACAGCATGATCTCTCTCCTGCCACACAGTCCTTGTCCCTAAAAGATTTACATGCTGTGGCCTCTGATATAAAGGCCTCCCTGGCCACTACCCTGACCACTGCCCTTAATGATTTAAGGGAAGACATCCGCGCAATGGGCTCAAGACTGGATCAGGTAGAAACGGTCTCCAGTAGCAACAAGAATGCTATACTCCACTTACAGCGACAGTCAGGGGTCCACACTGCGACTATCAGAGAGTTCTACAGGCAGATTGAAGACTTAGATAACCGTGGCCGTAGACATAACATTAGACTCCGCGGTGTACCAGAATCCGTGGAAAACCCTGATATACCTAAGGCAGTGACAACCATCTTTAACGACCTTCTGGGTCGCCCGCCGGCGACCCCTAGTGAGATAGAGCGTGTACACAGAGCAAGTCGGCCCAGGGGGAGCGATGCGGATCCACCCAGAGATATCATTTGCTGCATTGTTCACTTCCCGCTCAAGGAAGATATACTTCGATGCGCTAGGATCAGAAGGCATCTGTCATATGAAGGAGCGGATATACAACTGTACCAGGATTTATCCAGCATGACCCTACAACAAAGGCGAGCTTTGAGGCCACTACTAGAGTCGCTCCGTTCCCATAATATTCTATATAGATGGAGATTTCCGTTTTGCCTTTCAGCTCGGGTTGGTAGCCACACATATGATTTGCGAATTCCTGAAGATCTACCATCTTTTTGCTCGTCACTGAATATCCCATTGATCGACCTGCCTGACTGGCAGGGGTCTCTGAGAGGGCTTCCGACCCTAACCCCAAATTCAGCAGATGGTGCAATGGACTGGCAGGGTCATTCCCTTCGTAGAAGACGGACTGTCCCTTCGACTCCTCCAAGACCTCCCATTGGAGGCGCGGTGGCCGCTTCTAGCCCATCGGCCTCCCCCGCGCACAGAAAGCAACGGCACGAGCCTTAAACGGCTCCCGCTCCCCTTTCATCGGGCCACTTCTATGTAATTTTTTTCAGCTGCCTGTGGTTAATTATACTTCTTCTGTTGTTCCCATGGCCTTCCCTAAGGAGCCCCGAATGCCTCCTCTCTCGCAACCTGTTTTGCGCTGGACTCCCTTCCCATTTGACACGTCATTTGTTAGCTTTTTGGGGAATCTACACCTCTGGACTCTGACCAGCACCCACTAAGGGAAAGACGCCCTGGGGGTGTCTCCACTGTACCCCTGCCTCATTGGTTCCAAGACCTGCTGCGAGTGATAGTCGGTTGCTCCGGTGTGGATTTCTTGACCCCCGGCTCGCTCTCTACTGCTGAGATTTGGCTCCCCGGATCCCCCAGCTGAACTTCTGTCCCCTCCTCATCTGGAACCCGCCCAGTGAACTGGTCGCTCACGTATCCGACTTAGTGGTCAGCTTCCGGATCGTCCGCCCACCTTTTGCTGCATCCTCTTCGTACCCAAGGGACCTCATCCTGCCTCATTGTCTGACGCTCTGTTATCTTTGAAGCGGCTCCCAGCTGAACTCAGCCTCTCCCTGGCGTTCTGTGATCGGCTATATCCAGTTGACTTCTTCAGTGGGGGCGCAAGAGGGCTGAGTATTGTATGCACTGTATTTGGGGCTGTGGAGGTGGGCTGATGTCGGGATGGGGGGTGGGTTTGGGGGTGGGTGTGGTGGGGGGAGTTTGGGGGTGGTTCCTGGGGTTACTGCTTCTTGCCTGTGGTTAGATGAACGAGCATCCCCTTCCCTGCTTCCTATAGGGTTGTCCCGCCTGGCCTTGCCTTCTTCTCACTGGGTTATTCCCGTTTCCTGCTCTTGCTGTCAAGCTGCTTCTAGGGATAATAGCATGGGCGGGGCCCCTTGAGGTTCATTTCCCCTCTGCTCTAAGGATCTTAGTGGCCGTGCGGTTGTGGGGGAGGTGATGCTCGTCCCTTTTGTGATGATGGGGGCATTGATTATATTACTTATATACACTCGCAGTATAGGGTCAGTGCTTTGTTTAGTATCGGCTTCACTGGTGCTGATCCTGGGATGTTGAGTCTGTATTTGCTAACCACTTGGGGTTCCATTGTGTTTCTAATTGTTAATGCCTTGATTTTCGTTTGTTTTGCCTCTGCTAACCCGTTGATAACTTTGTTTTTTGTTAAGGAGATGCTTGCAATACTCGTCTTGGCCCTCCACTCTCCCACATTTGTCTTCCCTCGTTTCAGGCCTTGCGACCGTCTCCACATACTCTAACCCTTCTCTTATATACAGTCAGGTCCATAAATATTGGGACATCGACACAATTCTAACATTTTTGGCTCTATACACCACCACAATGGATTTGAAATGAAACGAACAAGACGTGCTTTAACTGCAGACTGTCAGCTTTAATTTGAGGGTATTTACATCCAAATCAGGTGAACGATGTAGGAATTACAACAGTTTGCATATGTGCCTCCCACTTCTTAAGGGACCTTAAAAGTAATGGGACAGAATAATAATCATAAATCAAACTTTCACTTTTTTCTACTTGGTTACAAATACTTTGCGGTCAATTACAGCCTGAAGTCTGGAACGCATAGACATCACCAGACGCTGGGTTTCATCCCTGGTGATGCTCTGCCAGGCCTCTACTGCAACTGTCTTCAGTTCCTGCTTGTTCTTGGGGCATTTTCCCTTCAGTTTTGTCTTCAGCAAGTGAAATGCATGCTCAATCGGATTCAGGTCAGGTGATTGGCTTAGCCATTGCATAACATTCCACTTCTTTCCCTTAAAAAACTCTTTGCTTGCTTTTGCAGTATGCTTTGGGTCATTGTCCATCTGCACTGTGAAGCGGCGTCCAATGAGTTGTGAAGCATTTGGCTGAATATGAGCAGATAATATTCCCGAAACACTTCAGAATTCATCCGGCTGCTTTTGTCAGCAGTCACATCATCAATAAATACAAGAGAAGCAGTTCCATTGGCAGCCATACATGCCCACGCCATGACACTACCACCACCATGCTTCACTGATGAGGTGGCATGCTTAGGATCATGAGCAGTTCCTTTCCTTCTCCATACTCTTCTCTTCCCATCACTCTGGTACAAGTTGATCTTGGTCTCATCGATCCATAGGAAGATGTTGTTCCAGAACTGTGAAGGCTTTTTTAGATGTCGTTTGGCAAACTCTAATCTGGCCTTCCTGTTTTTTGAGGCTCAGCAATGGTTTACATCTTGTGGTGAACCCTCTGTATTCACTCTGGTGAAGTCTTCTCTTGATTGTTGACTTTGACACACATACACCTACCTCCTGGAGAGTGTTCTTGATCTGGCCAACTGTTGTGAAGGGTGTTTTCTTCACCAGGGAAAGAATTCTTCCGTCATCCACCACAGTTGTTTTCCGTGGTCCTCCGGGTCTTTTGGTGTTGCTGAGCTCACCGGTGCGTTCCTTCTTTTTAAGAATGTTCCAAACAGTTGTTTTGGCCATGCCTAATGTTTTTGCTATCTCTCTGATGGGTTTGTTTTGTTTATCAGTTACTAATGATGGCTTGCTTCACTGATAGTGACAGCTCTTTGGATCTCATCTTGAGAGTTGACAGCAACAGATTCCAAATGCAAAGAGCACACTTGAAATTAACTCTGGACCTTTGATCTGCTCATTGTAATTGGGATAATGAGGGAATAACACACACACCTGGCCATGGAACAGCTGAGAAGCCAATTGTCCCATTACTTTTGGTCTTAACAAGTGGGAGGCACATATGCAAACTGTTGTAATTCCTACACCGTTCACCTGATTTGGATGTAAATACCCTCAAATTAAAGCTGACAGTCTGCAGTTAAAGCACATCTTGTTCGTTTCATTTCAAATCCATTGTGGTGGTGTATAGAGCCAAAAATGTTAGAATTGTTGTCGATGTCCCAATATTTATGGACCTGACTGTATGTGTCCTAGAGTTAACCAGACACTCGGGCTTGGATAGCGTGGGGACGGTTTTTGACCTGATTTACACCTCTCAGAATTTATTCCTGTCCCAGCCTGCGCTTTAGTGCCCCACACATGGCTTACACTTTGCCACTTCATGGAGTTGGTATGAGACCCTTCCTACGCACGTTTTTTTTTCTAGAACCTCCTAAACCTTATGTCACTACCGAACTCCTCCCTCCTCTTCACATAACTTCTCACCTGATTACATATTTTGGCGTGACCACCGGCCGGCGGTGGCGTTTATTCTCGTCTCGGCGTCCTCCTCGTTCCCCACACAGTGGGCTCTGTGAGCTCCTACTGATCGTCTGTACGGCGCGTTTTACTATATCGTTTGTTTCCATTTCTTGCCTCTCTTTCTTTTCTTTCTCTTTCCACATACTTCATCTCTCTCCTAGTCATCTTCCCCTTT